TGCTGAAGTACTCATCCAGAATAGCTTTCAGTCGCCAGAGCAAGAGGACGCAAGACGAAACACCACTTGGAACACAGTCTAGCTTAAATACCCCTTCATCCAGTCCCAGCATACGCCAAAGAAGTAACTCGAGCCTGTCTTTGCCCTTCGACCTACTGTGTAGAAGTTAAAAGTTACTTATTAAAAACAAGGGCCCTTTACTTGCACTAGCTTAGGGGTTACTTTTCAACCAGAGTGGAAACAACTCATCAGATGGGTGGCAGCTGAACCATACAACAGGCTGCACATTGCTCTCGAAAACTGGGAATAAGTGTGTGCTATTTAATCCAGCACGCGTGGTCCTTCGAAATAAGAAGCCCGCATAGCAACTGATGCTCTTTCCCCAAAGATCCCAGACTTCAAAGGCAAATAGAACAAGGCTTCAGTGCAGCAGCAATGAATGCAAAGGTTGCTCACACGTTAGCAACCAGATTAGCAAAGACAGGTATGCAAGAAAGGAGATGGTGGTGACCTGAACGGCAAGGCTCTACAAACTCAGTAAGCAGCAACAACCCGAGACACACTCAACACACAGGATTAGATGCAGGCTTCTTGTTCTTAATGCTGCCAAAGCCTCCTGTGTCCAGTGACAAATTCACAGAGTTACTTGCAAGAGGATTCACAGAAATTCAAGGGGCTTCATGCTGTAACCACCTTTCAGCACTTGATTGTAGGTTTGGACACTGAAGAACTTTATTAGGAGCAGAACTAACATAGCAGGATTATCTTGGTAACGTTTTAGATTTAGAGGCTCTTTCACATAAGCAACACCAGAAAGCTGTTTGTAGTCTCTCTCATTTCTTATTTTAACTTCACAACTAAAAGGACTTAAGAACGTCCTCGTCTCCCTCCCAAACCACAGCTTTTCTGCTGTCTCCTTAGTCAACAGTTAAACATACAAAAAAAGTACAAAAATTGACAAAGTAGGACAGATGCTCAGATAACCCTTATCACTCCAAATTCTGTTCCTGAGGCATATAAACCATAATTCAAGTGCTTGCTTTAAAACAGTGGACTGATGTGCCCTGCTTATTCAACACTTGGAGCCAGTCACTTCTTTTTTTTTTCCTGAAACCCAATTTCCTCCAACCCACCCCTGAAGTAGGTTAGCTATTGTACAGCAAGATCAACACACCCAGCCTGAAGCCCAGCAAAACTGCTCAGGGGCAGTGGTTCTGAACAGCAACCCACACAGCTCCAGCCATGCAGTTCAGCCAGCTCTGCAGAGCTCTGAACCGTATGGCTTGGTTCTTTATATTGAGTAATGTATAACTCGGAGCAAACCACATGCTTGGTTGTTTTTTTTTTTTTATAAAAAAGACTACAAAAAAAAAAAAAGTTTTTATAAAAAAAGACTACAAGAGAAACCAGGTTAAAAAGAACCATCTTACAAAGACGACGGACAATCTATTAGCCCTTGGCAAGCTAGACAACCATTGTACACAAAACAACAAACTGTACAAAACTGAAAGGAGATGGCAGAGAGATTTGTAAGGCTTTCTGCCCTTTTATTCTTCTCCTGGTCCAACATGTCTTCTGATCTCATTCCAAGAAAGCTTCAAGGTCATGTCAGAACAGCCACGAATTCATCTCCGATGTGTGCAAAATTCAAACAAATTTACATAAAGAGATAAAATGGCAAAGGTAAAAACAAAACTAAAGGCCAGGAGATCACGGGTTAAAATACTTCTTCTGAGACCAAGAGACTACAGTTCGGGTACATTTGAAAACATATTCCAAACTTTTAAAACAAGCTACAGTCTTTCTTGACTGATAAAAGGGTTTATTTGTTGAGGAAAACTAAAGGAGGATCTTTCTGGTGAACACTTTCTATTTCCTTTCCAGTATATTCCCAAATGCTGACAGACTTGTTCACACAATGACTTTCTGTATCTCCTCCACTTCTCACTCTTCCCCATGGTTACTAGCTTTTTTACAGCAAAAACCGTCTTGACTCTCATCTTGCCTTTGACAGAAATTTGACATGGAAGTGGTATCTGTTCAAAAGAAGTCTGAGCTCAGAGATAGGGGAGAGGTATTTAAAATGTCTATAAATAGTACACTGAATGTGTTAGGGATCTACTTCCAGGCTATGTTACAAACAAACTCTGGTGTCCAAGTCACCTATATAAAAGTAGTGACAGCCAGACTCCAGCAAAAGGAGGCATCTTCTTCAGGACTTTGAAAAGCCACTGAATTAGCCCTTCCAAGCAAGTTTCCCTGGTCAAGGAAGACCCAAGATCAACTGCTTTGTCTACAACCCAAAACGCACAGAAATGATAGTCGCAAAAAACCCTTCGGATGGGAAAAGAACAAAGAAAAGGAGGACGTTTCTTAAATGATCAATGCCACAGAACTTGGCTTTACACATCCGGACTGAAACATTTTGGTTTGTAGGTACAGCATCTTTTGCTGTGGAATTTCTACCTAGACATCACAATGCTGACTCCAGATAAGCAACCTGATCGAATCCAGTCCAATCCCTAACCATGACTGTGGTTAGGTAGTCTTGGGTGGTTGGATGGAGGATGACAATGAACTCAGGGAAGTTCTTGGAGAGCGATCCATTTTCAAACCAGTGTTCATAGCTGATCTTGGGTCTGTTTTGGAGATGGAGCTGTTGTCACAACCACAGTGGAAACTGCCTTAGTAGAGCCAGATACTGTTCCTTGCTGGAGGTGGGAGGCTGGTACTGTTTGAATTCGCACCTGTTCCAAATGGAAAGAAAAAAACTCATGTCAAGAACAACCTGGTGACACATTGCACTTGCATCGTGCTCTGAAACGCTGGTAAATTATCTGCTTCTGCTGCCAACAAAGTTTCAGTTACATGAACAAGACCAAGCACCAAAACACATCAAGAACAGAATCTGTCGCAAGATCACTCCAGCTGCTGTTCATGTGGGATGGTGGCAAGAGATTTCAAGATTAGAGAGGAAGACCTAAAAACTAGTTTGAATAAAAACCTACATGTCAGCTGCTTTTACAAGTTTTCAGAAGAAGGACCTGGATTCATTGAGTACTTCACTTCTACAGACTTGTCACTAGCAGCTCTCTATTAAGAAAGATTAATTATTAATTAAGAGAATTACATAACACTAAGTTTCCAGGCAGAAAAACAGATACACAAAGAAGTGACGTGACTTCTTCAAGGAAAGGTGACCTGCAGAGAAACTAAAGTACAAAGCACCACAAAAAAAGCCAAGTGTATAGAAACAATTCTTCAAGCAGTTGGGAACTTTTCCTGACAGGATTTTTGGGCTTACATTCCTATCCAGTGCCTCAAAAACATTTAAAAACCGTATCTGGATGGAGGGAAGGTAAAGGAGATGATGCACTGCATGTGCTTAATGCGTCTATTACAGCCAAGCCGTGTACCTCTACTTTTTATGGAACCCTGTGTACCAAGTGTGAAGTCCTCATGGAGATGTTAAGTCATAAAAAAGCAAATAATATTATCATGCTAGGTGCCGTTACCTGCGTGGCCTGGCCTTGCTGCTGCAGCTGCTGTAGTTGCTGTGCAGTCAGAAAACTCACTGGCTTGTTCCCAGCAATCAGTTTTGTCCCTGCTGGCATCGTAGTCAGGATGATATTTCTACCTAATCCACTGATGCTAAGGAAAGAGAATTGTTGAAAGGTTAGTAAACAGCACAGCAGGCTAGGTCTTTCAGACTCACAAATTGTTGTTCAGTTGCTAGGAGATTAAAGTTACTTATCTAATTTACTAATGAGTTTAAGTAGCGGGGTTTTTTTCTCCGCAAAAAATGGCAAATACACAGGTGACAAGTTTATGTCAACATTTATCACTATCATAGAGAATTACTTTATTACGCAAATTAAACCCTCTCATTCTCGACTGTGCATATCACAGGGTTAGTCTGATCAGACCTGAACACTTCTCAAAGAAGGCAGAAAATAGCTTGAGCACACTGTGTTCTGCCTTGAAATATTAACTAAGGGAGACACTACCAGGATTCATGGAAGAATAAACAAAAAGACTTCAATATCTGAATGCCAGAGGAATTTTTCACTGAGGCAGTTAACACTTCCCTAGCTTCTTTAACGGAGAGATGGCTTCAGATTACATGTATTTTTAGGTATGTCACCAGGTTAATTTGTGCTCAAACACACAGAATGAATCTAATGGCCGGTTTCAAGGCAAAGAACATTTTTTTCTTCAGTGTACTTGCTAGAACCTACATCTCAGGGCACCTAAACAAAGACTATATTCTCACTGCCAGACACCATACTCACTCAGTTTCTTGCAGCTAATGGACTGCAAGTCTATTCCACCCTCTGCTTGCTAGCTCCCCAGGAACCTATCAAACACAGACTTTCCTCAGCCTATTTCTAAAGCAAAACTACCCCATGCAAAGTACTCACTTGGCCCCGAGGTTGCCCTTGATGATGGGGGCAGTCACCACACTTTTGCCTTTCACTGGCTGGCTGATCACTGACAGAGGCACTGTTATTCGTGTTGGTAGTTTCCCCTAGAGAAGTTGAAGAATACATGAGGAGCCGCGGGGAGTTCAGCAGAGAAACTGCTTTGACAACAGGCAATTACCACTCAGCTTGCTTTTTAGGAGTCCTGGGAGTAGAAACCAACAGCAGCTTTGCTGATGAAATCTGTGCTCCATTTCAGGCTCATTACAATTCACCTCCATCTCATTCACTTCACAGCTGCCTGAGCCCCGCAAACCCGCATCATCTTTGCACCACGATATTTCTCTGGGAAGGATCACTGTATCCGTCCATGATATTTATCCTTAGGAAACTATCGTAATGTCAATTCGCTTCACGACACAGTTTATGGGGCCTTCAGCTTTAGGCATTAAAATTGCATTAAAGGGGGAAATCGGTAAAAAAAACTAATACAAGTAACAAGCACTTCTAGTTCTGACACCATTCCAAGGGAAATTATTTCAGCGGCGTGGGGCAAGACGCTGAGCTGCACGAGGTAGGACTTTAGATAAGCAAAGTTTATTTCGTTCACTCGCAACAGGAGGTAAGGGAAGACATATCTCACTGTTTTCTGGTCAGTCAGCATTTAGCTACAATTCCAACACCATGAAATTAGTTGCAGACCCACATTCTACAGTACTTAATTTGAGCCTCTGTGGACGTAAAGAGAAATTTGCAGATATAAACCATCAGTACATTTCAGCATTCCCCTTTCTCACCCACCTCCAGAAAAAGTTTAGCATTACTTACTGCCTGGGATGTAGATACTACTGTGGTGCTGACGGGTACCTGCCGCACAGCAGTGGCTCCTGTGCCTATAGTTATGGGAGTCCCAGCTGCTCCCGAGGCCACAGCAACTGCTTTCGACACTGTGGCACTCACGGTTGGTAAAGAGACAGCTGAGGTATGGACTGTGCCAGGCATGCTCACTGCTGAGGAAGAGGGCGCTTGCTTAGCATGAGTAGCTACCGTAATAGTCTGCCCAGCTTTGGGCGGCATCACCCCCAGCCCCTGCACGATTCTTATAGTAGCAGCTGGCTTGGCCTCAGTGGATGCCACTGTAGTGACAGCTTTGCTCTTCTGATCCGCCACAGTCATGCCCAGAGCAGGCATCAGTCGGAAAGCAGAGCTTGGTTCCGCTGTCTTTAAGTCAGGAGTCACTTTAACCACTGTGCTTCCAGCTGGGCTGGAAGAAGCAGTAGTGGCCGTGCTAGTCTTGGCTGGGGAATCAGCAGTCTGGACAGGATTGGATGTCACGTGCAATGTTGCAGAGATGCCTTTCCCACTAGCGCTGCTTCCCGCAGCTGCTGTGAAGAGGTCCTGAGTCAGTTTGACAGTAGTGACTTGAGATTTGGCCAGGGTGGCCATCATGTCCGGCGTGATACGCAGCACTGTCTGTCCCTTCGCATCTGTGGTGATAGAGGAGGGGGGTAGGCGCAACACATCCTTTCCTTGGATCCGAAAATTGGTCGCTGTGAGTGGGATGCCACTTCCAGGCTGGGTCTTCATGCCAAGTTGCCCTGTAATAGCCACCTGGAAGAGATCAGAGAGATGGCTGTATCAAACCAGGATGCAGTCCAAGGCAAGAGTCAAAGTAAAACTTCCCAAGAGGATGATGTTTGCTCCCATCAGAATTGAAGCTGCATGATGCTAGGACTCAGCACACTGCTGAAAATAGTTTTGCTTGCGTATCAGACGGCACTCCCAAAACCATGTAAAATATGAAAATTGTGGAGCTGCTTTTTCAAACAAGATGAATGAAAATGAGATCAGCATCTGAAGATGGTTAACCTTGGACTAACGCATCTTTTACCTGTACGTGAAAACAGGGCTCAGAGCAGCAACTGCCTAAGCCTGTATGGTCAGTAACTCATGTAGCACTACAGTTACCCGCTACAGTTTTCACTATCTTGACATCTGCATATCATGTCTGTCACAGCAAATGTGAAACGACTGGGTCATGGAGCCCAGTTCCTTGTCTATCCCTCTCTCTCACCTGCTTGATGATATTCTGGCCAGCTACATTCTGGATGACAGTGGTAGAGGAGGTGCTTGTAGCAGAACTGCCTGGAGAGCTGGTTACTGGCTTTACAGCAGGACTGGGCGTTGCAGACAGTCCTGTCACAGTGATGCCTGTCTGACCTGTCACGGAGCTTGCTGGCCTTTGCACCTGCACTGGGCTGGTTTGAGCTTTTACCGGCAGAGTCATCACAGCCTACAGAAAGACACAGAGGCAGCCTATGAGCAAGCTAACACAACACTAACAGACTAATAATTTGCTTTTATTGTCTCGTGACTTATAGCTTGCAAGTTCTGTGGACTTTTTACTGTAATGCACAATTTAGTGGTGCCACATGAACAGGCAACAGGGAGGAAAAAAGGAGCACTGAACAGTATTATCTGTGCACAACTGTTTCTTTGCTCTTGCCCTGCAGTTACTGCACGTCCCAAGTGAGCAAGTAATCCCTGTGCACCATACCGAAATACCAGAAGTCGTCAGAGCTACTCCGCCATTTCCACACAGCCAAACTCACCTGAGGGAGCACTTTGGTTTGCGCGGCTGTAGCTGGAACGCGGATCTGAGGCACTGACGTAGGTTGCTGCTGCTGGGTTACCACCGGGGCTTGCTGAGATACAGCTGGGAGGCTTGACTGGGCAGTGACCACCCGGACCTGCGGCAGTCCTGAGGAGGTGGTATGACTTACCACCCGCGTGGGAGGTGGCTGCGGCCCAGGCTGTGTCTGTGAACTCTGGGCTGTGGAAAGCAACGTCCCGAGCTGTGGCATGGTAGGGGACGATACCAGAAGAACGCTACAGAAAAGATAAAGCCAGTAGGTCAGCAAAGATGTAGGAAATGACTGAGAAAGAACCAGCAACATTCATAAGCGATGTGTGAGACGGAAGAATTACCTTTGACTGGGTTTTGCTGGCTCCGATCCAGCACTAGATACACTCTTGCTAACCACAGACACTGGTGGGGGCGAAATAGGCGTTGCTGGTAATGCTGGTGCGGTTGGCGTCACGGGAGTCACGGGAGTTGGTGGCATGCTGGAGTCACTAAGGCTCAGCTGACTGGGCTCTGACGTGCTGCTGGGGAGTGCTTTCACAGAACTCTCCTTGCTACTAGTCTTCTGCAAAGAAACCATGTCAAGCATAAAAGGTCTTCACCAAAACCGGGTTTGACTGCTGCACTCTAGAGAGTGGGCTGAGCACTTTAAGCTGATCTCTGTATGGTTATGAATGATGCCCCGGCGCTAAATCCTGAAATTACAGCTGACGGACCGACTGCCTTCCTCAACTGCAGCCACAAGTGGGCTGACACGTTTGGCTGCTCCTGTTCTCAGGGAAAAGTGCACCTCAGCAGCGACAAACATTCATAACATGCAGATTTCCACTTTGGTTAATTCGCCAACAGCAACTACTTTAGAGGCAATAACACCACCACCACCACATCCAAACCATGAGTGCTTCAGCACAGCACGGGAGAGGACAGCAGACACGTTCCACACACTCTGCTATAGATTAACCTCAAAACTAGATCTGAAAGGCCATCCCTAAGATAGGCAGCACAAATGAATTCCATTAATCTTTCTGCTGAGATCAACAAGGATAACAGCGGGAGCTGGGAGCTGTACAAGTCCCCTCTTTCTTCTGTGCGCTGGTGCTAGACTAACACCAACATTCATAAATATAATGAACTGGTAACTCAAATAGGTGGCAATTTTCATCAGCCACTATGGATGCAGAATTCATGGATTAAGTTAGGCCTCCTGTATCTCCTTCTCAATCTCAAAAGCATCTGTGCAAACCTGTGCAAGGAAATTTACCATTTTAGCTGGAGGTTTTGGCTTCTGCTGAAGAGCTTTCTTTGCCTTTGCTGCAGCAGCTTGAGCCTGGTGGATCCGTTCTGCAAATACAAATTAATGGTTAGAGCTCCTGAACACAAGCAAACTGATTTAAGAAAAGAGGTCAATTCAGAACTGTAAGCTCATCTTCAGACAATAAATCAGACAGACATAGTCGTGTCATAGTGCAAAGAAAAATATCAAGTAAAACTAGCCAAAAAGGCTGAAACTAAACACATAAAAAGTTGTGACTGTACATAGATGTGCAGTTCTTGTACATGGGATGCTATTTTTCAAGCAAATACTTCAAACTGACACACTGCTCTGCAAGACTGGGTTTAAGTGCTGATGGACTAACATTAGCAAACTGACTAGAGAAAAAAGCTAGACTGACAAATTAATGTTCATTATCCAGCTGGACTGAAGAAGCTCAAGTGATTTATAAACATTTTCAATTCTTAAAATATCACCACGCCAGGCTTACCAAACTCTTCCTCACTCCTGTTCCGGTGCAGGTAGATCCACAACTTGCGTCCAATATCATATTTTACACAGGGATCCTTCTCATAATGTAATCGATCCAGAGCACCACTAACAACAGTATTAACCTGAAAGTTCAGAATTCACAGAATTACAACATGTCTCTGGTCAGGCTAGCCAAAAGTCACGAAGAGAAAAAGTAATCCTGCTTGGCATAAAACCTAAGTAAGCTGCTAGCCATCCGTTTGAGTAAGAACTGACTGAGAGCAGCTGTTGCAGCACAGGATGCTGTTTGCCACCTTGGATTACACAGAGCTTCTACCAAAGCTGAGAGTTCTGAAAATTGACTGTTTCTGAATCTAAAATGTGAGCAGATATATGACATAGTGTTAATTCTATGGCTTTTCTAGCTGTTCTTTCATCATCCAGAGTTTGGTGCAGATTTGCAGCAGCTCACCAGAGTAGAGCACAGCTCTCATTTGCTAGTCAAAGCAGCATAAAAAATTATTGGGACTCACGACACTCAATACTGCCCGGGTCTGCACAGTGTATTTTTAGGAGAATCTGTTTGAGGCTAGACATGGCATCCAACTTACTTGAGCACTTGTGACATCAGGAGCTAGGAACTGGGAATCTTTAAGCAGCTCACAGATTTCAGCACGAGTTCCTTCTCCATTAGGAAGGCGAGCAGCAGCATCACGAACTGGAATACAAAACCAGAGCTTAGACTTCCAGCCATAACTAGGTTGCTGCATTGGAGTACTTTGGTGGGTACATTTTGGTATTGCTCTCTTATCTTCGTTCTCCCAGTGCCTACTTGCTCACTAAAATCTAGCCCCCATGGCCCCTCTGAGATCTGAGCAGAGATTCCAAAGGATCATTTTAAAGGACATCAACTGTGCCGGCTTTGTGCCAGGAGCAACAAACTTGGGGAACCGCACTGAACCCCAGAATGACTTTGCAATGCCCCAACTTCACAACAGTGTACTGAAACCACCACTCTCTTCTCTCCCAATTATTCGAGCCTTCGCTTCAGCCAGCCCCATGAACTCTCTGCTCTATTTCCCATTTTCTCCCAGTTCAACAGCAACATAGAGATGCCTTCTTTTCTAGTTATTCCTGCTCCCAGCATTTCATCACTTTTATTTCATATAATTGATTTCTTCTTCGCTTATGTCATCCCAGCCAGGCCACTTTTTCCCTTTATAATGTAGATTTCTAAAGTCATTGCTTGGGAGGGTCAGGGGAGCCATTTTCTTTTTATAAAAAATCTTTTTTTGGCCATCACCTTACCGAGGGACAAGATGGTGACATACGCTGGTCTGTCTGAGCGCAAGAGAGAATGCTCTCGGGCTTTGTTTAATGAGGTTTCCTTGTCAAACACGCCCTTCACAGGACCAACAACTGACTCAAAGCCATGCATACGGAAAGTGAAAGCTTTGTGGGGCTGGCTGTAGCGGTAACGTTCCTGTATTTGGAAACAAGAGGACTGAATTTAGCAGTAATCATATGCTACATATATATTAGAAGTTAAGTTATTATCATTCTCTAGAGAAAGGTTTTTTTTTAAATTAAAGGCTCAAATACGCTGTGTAAACATATTTTGGATTAAAACAGGCACAAACTACTTCAAGCAGAATATAAAGCACCACCTAACCGAAGTGTGCAGGTGCAATACCTTAGGTTCACTGTTTAGCAGCTGCACAGACTAGAGAGGTGCCAGAGATACAGTTTCTGCCCAGAAAACACCCCTTCCCCAAGCAACAAGCAGCCCTTTCTTCCTCCTCCAATGTGGCAAGACAGATTTTCAAAATTTAACCTAGATATTCTACCACATGCACAGCACAGGTACCAACGGAAATGAACCATCGTGTGTTTACCCTATAATACGCACTTCCGTCTACTACAGACAAGGTAACTAGGTACCTGTACTTGTACTCATACCTGCCCCAAAAGTACAGAGACAAGTCATCCTCTTCTGCTGGGGGAAGGCAGAGGAGACAGAAAAGCTGGCACTACCAATTTCAATTAATTTTGCCCAATGCTCCTTGGAGATCCAGCTGGTTTTGAAGTAAGCAGCTAGGCTATACTGTTGGCAAGTTTTACGTAAGGCCAAGATACCTACTTCAGGGCAGAAGAAACACACTGATTCTTTATGTTAGCAAAGTTTGTGCAGAGTATAAAACTGCCATCCCATACAAATTCTCTGGTTTTAGTGGCCAACTGTTTCAACGTGTGCCTTTAAAATTAAGATGATTCTCTTCTTACCTGCTCCTGAAACACGCGTTTCTCCTCTCCAGTGCTAGGTCGGACTACATAGTCAGTCCTTCTGAAACAAGGGTCACCATCAGTTCCGAGCAACCGCAAGCCCACAACAATCCCAAAGAACATCTCAAAGGATTAGTCACCTCACCCTTTCTGCAAATTCTTCTGAACAAATTCTGAAGGTATGATAATATAAATAAGGCCTGCAGAGATCTTAAAACATGCTCTATGCACTACCTAAAGGTAAGCAAAGACTGGACTGGATCTAGTAATCAGGACATAAACTGATGTTTACATAAAAATCAACTGACTTTGCGTCAAGTCAGACTATCAAGTTGCCTGCTGCCCCGTGATGTAAAATCTTTTTATTTTAAGCAAACAGCCATGTAGATCCAGAGGCACGAGGGCCAAACTTCATAGCTTTAGCAAGCGCTTGCAAAAGCTTTAAGCAGTATTATATACTTACACTCTGGGAATTGGTGTTGTGGCATCTGAGCTGTCTTCACTTTCCTATCGAAAAACAGAGAATCGTCAGTGTTGGATGTAACTCAGGTTTTGTGCCGCTAAGAAAGTGATTTTTTTTCTGACTCACTTTGAAAAAACTCTGGTCTTTGGTCTCCAACCAAAGCTGAAACAGTGCTGCCAATTCCTTCTCATGATCTTGGCAAGAGCCTAGTCAAAGAAAGCAAGAAAAATAGGAAATTGAAGTCTTCATTTGTTATGAAGCTGGTTGCTTGTACTTCTCAGTCATCTCCTACTCCCTTCCTTCCCCTATGCCTCACCAGTCACAAGGCATCTTACACACTTCACAGATGCTCCCATTTCAATAGCTGAACATAACCGGGCTTAGAAAAGTGCTAAAACCTAGTCAGTCCCCTCTGCCAGTACAAAGGACGGTGCTTCAACTCCTGGCATAGCAGGCAAGACACTGTTTGAGACATAGCCACCTGATATTTGGAGGCGGTTCCTACTCTCCAGAGTAATCCCTGTCACTGAGTCCATGAGCAGAAACACGTGCCTACATAACCTCCACCAAAGACTGCGAAAGGGACCAGGGGAACAGCCTCCTGGCTCCAAACCTCTGCCAGTTTAAGCCTGCAAATAGAATCACTATAGGTAAGAATGGAAAAATTCTGCCTAGTAGCTAAAGGAACCTACATAAACACAAGAAATTTGTCATTCACTCAGTATGAGCCTGGGCACATTTATTATTAATTTGCTCTTTTGTTCCCACTTTTAATAATGAGAATAGTATCACTTTGCTCCACAGAGAAGCTTAATTCATTTATAATTGTAATAATTAATAATTACTCTGAATAATCAGAAGGAATGCTCCACAGAAGGGAAAATATGAAGGTGGTCAGAGAGATCTGATGGGTGACGTAAACATGGTTAGGTCAGCAACATAAATAAAGCCCAATGCCTCGGCTTACTTATTCTCTGTCTGCTGCTGATACTCGAGTCTTGTGAAAACCTAGAATGTAAAGCACGTCTTCACTCAACTAAAAGAAAAGGCCTAAGCAAAGAAATTAACAGCTCTGCTTGCCTTTCTCTCTGGGCTGCAGCAAGCTGAAAAGTCAAGTCCTGGAGAAAACAACCAACCTTTACTATAGTAGAAACCACAGAAGATACTCACCAAGCAATTTCCACTGCTGAGTTTTCTCCTTGAATTCAACAAAAGGTGAGAAGCTGGAAGAAACATCTAAAATGAAAAATATGCATGTCAGAGGCATCACACAATCATCCAACCCCCAAAATCCTCCTGTTGTAATGCAAGCTGTTGAGTTAGGCTCATAATGACAGATAAAGCATTTTAAGTGATTATGTAAGCGCATCTCTAAATTTATGCTTGCCCAAAAGGAAGATAAGCATCTCACAGTAACAGCACAAGCGCCAGAAAGAACAGAAGAGGGTAACGAGTCTTTTATCTACAGGCTGTCAGATGAGATCCTGTTCATGCTGTGAGGCACCAGGAACTGTTACTGTACGGTGACTATTCCTGGGCTGATGGGAAGCAAGCTCAGGATTTACAGCATTCACCAGCATTAGGGAGAAAATTAAATATTCATGCTGCAAAGGCCACTACAATCTACGCTGTCTCTCCCTTTATATTATTCTGTGGTTCTCATTTGCTTAGTGGGACGTTTTAGTTTGAAAGGAACGTCTGAAGCTTAGCTGGCCCAAGCCCCAGGTCAAAGCTGGGCCAACTTCATGTTTCCAGCGGCTTGCTCATCTGATTTATTTTCTACTAGTCTCTGAAGACAACCACAATGTCTTCGCACTGGGAAGAGACTGATTTCTTCCTGCTTCAAACATCCCACCTGAAGTGTATGATACGAACAGGAGAAACTATCTGTCTAGAGGCAACTTCACACATTTTCACATACTCAGGAATTGAGCTGGGTCTTACCTACCGTCCACATGCAAAACAAGTCTACCACAGTCAAGAAATGTAAGCCATAAAGCTTATCATAGAAACGCTGTCAACAATGCAACCATTTATTGCAGTGATGAAGTAGAAGTTGATTTGAGCTATAATATAAACCCAGCACTGATTAGAACCGAGGTACAAGCACCATTAGTATTTTTAATAGCCATTCTTACCTCTGCTGTCACCTGTCAAGTACTGCAAGGCGGGTAAAACCAGTTCAGACCAGTTAGGGGTAAAGGAGAACCAGTTATTTAGTGCGCTGGCAGGAGAAGATTGCCAATCTAGAACTTTATCTTCGAGCTGAAGAGGAAAAAGAAATATTCTATTAAAGATCTCGCACTTTAAACTATGACTGTTTTAATAGAAAACGAAACAGCTAAACATGTCCAGGGGACAAAAAGATTTTTATGCATAAAAAAAAAAAGAACAAAACACTTGACTTTTGGATGTAACCACAACATGGTATTTCGGACAACAGACACCAGAACGGGGGAAAAACTTCCCCACCACCTCTGCCCTTAATATATAGAATATATCTAAACATGATCTAAAGAACGGGTATGGAAAGACTTACAGATTCCACTGACTACATTTATGAAACATGTTAAAAACAGAACACAGTATACACTCCCAAATGGTTTCATTTCTTTAATACATAATCTACATCTTAATATAATTTACAGCAGGACAACTCTGGATAAAAATCACTATTACATAGCTATAAAACCCTCCATCTCCTAATTTTGCTTTCTGCAAAGACTCCTAGGTAAGTGTGTGGTTCCTTACCACGGAGAGAGTAGCAGGTCCTTCCAGAAACAGCATCTCCAAAAGAAGGAAAAAGAAGCTGGAAGATATTTCATTTATTCCAAGGCATGGCTTCATCTCTTCAAGAGGTCTTCAAACGAAAGAGAACACAAGCAGAGTTAGGTTCCCTGAGTAAATATTCACCTTCATGTACAAAGATAAACACCACACATTTCACACATCCCAAGCTGCACGAAACCAAAGCCTGCAGAAGTCCCACAAAAATCTGAGCTGCAACATCTGTTGCTCTCTCCACCCGTGCAAGGCGTTCATGGCCCTTTGAAGTACTTACTCCTCTTTGACAGATGACAGAGGGATGGGGGAAGGATCCTGAGACATTGTGGGGATTCCATCAGCATTGCTAAGAGAGTCAGCCAGATCTTCCGCCTCGGATTTAATAATCTTCAGCTTTTTTTTCTTCTTATCTTCCTTTTCCTTCACCTTTTTCTTGAGGGTTGCAAGGTCAAATAAGGCTTTAAGACATGATCAAAGGTAAGAAGAATAAATAGAAAACTTCTTAACAGATTTCAGCAAGAGTCATAAACTAACTATATATTTAAATATATATTCAGAGATGTTGTAGCATGCATATAACTCATTCACACATCATTCATTCCATCTTCCCAGTAATTTCCATGAGTCTTCCCCTCAGTGTGCTCTGTTGTAATAGAAAATCTCTAGTTTTTAAACCAACGTATATGAAATTAGAAAGGCAAAGGTAACTGCTTAGAGCAGAGACACAAATTAACTTTCACCAATTAGTTGGAAGTACCTTCAGTGGAAACTGGAGTTGTCTGTGAGCAACCGAAATGGAACAGCTTGCAACCCCAGAGCGGTTAGCCAGCTATGCGAAGAGCAAAAGGATACAACAATCTATTGAGACCACCTTCACTCTCAGCTTTTCACACACACAGGACACCCTATATTCATGCGGTGCGCAAGTACCGTGTCCGAGCCACTGACCTGCTAAGGAACCTTTCCTGCCAGCATTTACTCGAGTCATAATGTCCTCAAGAGTCAGGTCTGTCGTCACTAGATCAGGGTGGTCCTACATCGGACAACGGGATAGAAATTAAAATTACGAAAGGACAAAGTGTTAAGATAGCAACAAGGGTAAAGAAGGCAACCAAACCAGGATCAGCTTATAAAGTTATTTACTGAAATAAAAGTTGGGAATCTTCTAACCCTCAAATCCAAAATTTTGGCTTTCCAAAAGACATCACTAAAATTACAAAATTCTTCTAAACAGATAGGCAGAAACAGGACTGCATATATGCGCTGACAATTAAGAACAGGTTATGATAAAGGATTGAAGGGTGGTTGCACGCAAAAAAGTAGTCATCATTTTGTCACTCAGCAGTATCCCGAACTTTACGGCTAACAGATAAAAGACTAATAGATAAAATGCAGTCCCACCCCACCAGACTCCTCGACATCTTACAGGTTGACGTTTTCGTTTCTCATGGTGTTTCTTCAACATCATCTTCAAATCGCTTTCCCCAAGTTCTATCTTGTCTGGAACAAAAAAACATTCAGAGATTACTCGCCCGGTTTTCCATTATTGTTACTTTACAGACTTCTTAGAATGCCATTTTCTACCCATTCCCACTGTGCACAATCTCCAAATTGCAATAACTAAATTTCCGTATTTGAATTTCATTCTTTTAATCAACCCATTTATTTCAATACTTCCTCGAGTCACCAGATGTCATTGCTGATGCAAGTATGGAAGTGAAAAGAAGTGAGAACCAGCTGTGCTGCACGAAGGGTTTGCAGATTTGATTACTGTAACCTTCGAAGAGATTGCCTCAGCACACACAACAAAATATTTTGAACTGGACTATGCTAATGCTTCAACTACAAAAGTCAAAATGTAACAGAGAAATCAGTAATATTACACAAACTGTAGACCCTTGTGTTAAAATACTAGCCTTCCAAGGAGAAAAAGAGTAAATAAACCGTGAGAAGAGCCAACTGTTTTAGAGACTGCAAAAATGAAGCACTACAAGATTTCCCATGAAACAACAGATTTTCAAACTAATTTCTTATTAGCTTTTTTTTTTATTACTTCTCAAAGTAATTCTCACCCCTAAAGCCCTATCAAGCCCTAGTTTGGTTCCCACCTGCTGTTTTCATGTCCAAGGTTGACAACGTGGGGATCACTCTCAGAGGAACTGGTGGACTTGGACAACGTGCTGGAGAACTCGGAGGCCAAGAGCTCAGATCTAAAAGAAAGAAAGAAAGAAATTTTTTTTTACATAATTCTATTCCCCTGTGTTCGTTAGAGCACAGCCAATAAAACTGGAGTCCAGTTTCCACTCTTCCATCAAAGACACTGTCCTCACATCAAAAATTTGTCTTTCCCCATTCACATCTCGAGTCTTTAGTTCAGTCCAGGGCATTACCTTCTTCATCAGAAGATAAGGTAGTATCTCCACACTCCTCTTTCACTTCCCTCAGAATCTTCAAGTAGCGTCGATGTGTCCGTCTGTCTCGTTCTTCTGTGTCATACGTCGGTGAGAAGTGCTTTCTCCTTAAGGTCATTTCAGGGCCTCCTTTCCTAGCTAAATCCAGCAAATACTGGAAGAAGAGATACGTGTGACATTAGCTATCTCAGCTACAGCGCTGTAAGCTAGAACAGATAAGGCCAACTCACATGCTTTCAGCAAGTTTAACATTTGAAGTTGGTGCAGTAAGAACCTCAGTTCTTTGCATGATAACCCTCAAGAACTATCAGTATCTGCCAGTTTTAAAACCAGCGGTTTAGACCACCATTGAAAGGGGGGGAAAAAGCAAGGAGAAATTTCTGCACCTTCATCTGCACACCCAGTACCTCACTGTCATTTTCTGTGGATTGTTGAGAGGAACCTCACCATTAGTCGGAGATCCACTTGTGCAGTCTCCATGCCAAATACATAATGCAGACATAGAATACTGTCTCTTTTGAAGAAAACATTTCACCCCTTACGGCTACAGAGGAAGTAACTTCCTACACACCTCTGTGTTCTTTTTCCCATATCACTGTGGGGCATTTTACAAAGACAGACTTTCAGCTTCATCCACACACGCCATACATTTCAACACCCAAGCGTAATGAAACAATAAGCGAGCATGTATTTGCAACGAACACATTTCAGTTGGCAGCAGTTAGCCAAATTAGACAGCAGTATCCACAGAGGAAGCCCTCATCAGGCATTTACAGGCATCAGGATCGCAGTTCTCTATCTATTCTATACCAGCCTCTGGTGAAGCTGGGGAATTCATACAACTACATAATGAGCAACCTTACTTGTTTTACAGTGACAGAAATGGTAGAAAATGAAAGCAGAATGACTCGCTAATAGGGCAGTAAGGTGTAAAGGGGCAAATGCAGGAAGCGGGGGACAAGGCGGACGTGGAAAAAAGATGCTATACACAAGTGAGAGCTATGAGAGTCTCAAAACCTAAGATTTGCAAACGTAACAACGTTACTCGTGTTCTCGTATTATAGGGGCCACTGGAAAACCAGAAACGCAGCATTCAAAAGGAAAGACCTCGGAGAATTGTGAACACACAAATCCCAAGACACTTTGTTACAGAAACAACCTATTCATTAGAGAAGACAAGAAAGACACAATGCACTCACATTGCGGGAAGCGAGGATCTGCTTGAGCAGTCGGTAGAAGTACTGCTGCTGAGAACTCAGGTAGCGTTTGTACTGGGACTTAAAACAGAGCTGCCGGTATTTCACAACTTCAGGGTTAAAGTGTCCGTCTGCAACAAAGAGGTAAGAAACACCTGAGTTTTCATCAACTGCTAGTTGAGAATTTAACCCCGAAAACACACAGAAGCTTATTACGCTTACTGACCCCGGAAGAGTTTCTGGGCGATGTGCAGTGGATTTCCAAAACGGAAGTTTTCACCACTGAACAGGGCAGAGATGAGTTTGTTCTGGTGCTCTCGGTTGTTTTCAGGAAAGTGAGGCAGGAATTTTTTTAGGTGGTCTTGCTGCGCAGCTGTCAGCACCTCCTGCCACGTAGACAAGCTGACAACTTCGAAGAAGATCTCAGGCTAAAGAAAGCAAAAAACAATACAGTGAAGAAAATGCACCTGCACCCTTTAAAATTTTCTAGCCCTTAAGGCTTTCTGTGGTTAAATAACACAAGTCACGAGACAGCGTCTCACCAAACGCAGAAAACAATAGAGGAAAGGTGAGGAAATTAATGATAGTACTAGCAACAAGAAAATAAATTCAAAAATTGTAACAAACAAAACTTTCTTAAAGGCAATTTTAAAAAAAAGAGAGATTGTGATCTAGAAAATTAACACAACAGAATGGCTTTAAAAGACGTTTTCCTGAGATTAATCAAAGCCCTTTTTGAGATCTTTTCCAGGACAGTCAGAAACATTTCCCCTCTTCTCAGTTTGCTCTGCAAGCCCCACAAAGGGAGTTAAACACACTGCTTTATCAAGGCTCTGAAAAGGTAAAGTGTGTTCACGCTACTCACGTCCTCCAGAAGGTCCTCGGGCAGACTGACTCTGGTGGTACCCAGCATGCAGTCCTCCATGATGCGTGTGCCATTTCCTTCCCCGCAGGGTCCCAGCTCCAGCGGGTCTGTAAGCATGTGATCCAGAGAGTCCATTCTTCACCCTCTCCTGAAAAACAGTGGCAAAATCCTCAACACCGAAAAATCCCAAACCCAGCTACATCCCCAGCTGAGGAATGACTGAGAAGCTGCATTCGATTAAGCTGTTGTTTAAAACACCAGCTACAGAATCGGGCGGTGAGATAGGTAAGATATGACAGCGTTAATTTACTGCTTGAGCGCAACAGGAGTCACGTCAACAAGAGAAACGCTTTTCCAGACAGCCTGTACCATGCACACAGGAGGACTGGAAAGTAAAGCGACCCGTTTCACTTCACCTCCCACCTGCAGGAACGGTTGCCAATAGACTTAAATACCACGAAAAACTACATCTAAATCCTGAAAGCGGTTTTAACGCGCAAAACCGAACGGCAGGTCTCAGTTAGGCTTTCTCCCAGGCTGAATTTGCAGCTATGACTGGGCCAAGAGCCCTCTTCCCCTCAGGCACAGTCTGGAAGAGCTGTGCAGCTCCAGGCTCCCTGCTAGAAGAAAAACTCATGAACCACGCGGAATAAATCAAGGGGAAAAAATCACAAATATGTAACTAAACAAAACCAGGCTTAGACAGTAAGAAACAACAGGGAAATAAAAGAAAAAAAGCCCTTTTCATACCCGCTCTGGGCCCGACGCCGGCGTCTCGGAGCGACGGCGCTTCCCCGGTGCCGGAGCCGAAGGCACGCCGAGACC